CGAGGTTGGTACGTAGCTCATCTTCGTTTGTCTGATCACTGTATGTTTCTAGCCACAACGTAGGTACTTCGATCTCTGCGAGGATCACTGCTTCGGTGCCGTAGGTGAGATTGAATGGTGTTTCTCCCGTGGCGGTCTTCTCCGTGGTCCGGTAGGCCCATAGGACACTAGGTAGTTCATCTTCCCACAATCCCTTAGCTCGGTCTAGCCGTGCCTTTAGTCCGCGGAGGATGGCTTTGTTCGTGACTTCTGCCTAACAGTTTGCTTTAGGGTGCACGACTGAAGTAAAATTCTGTTGGATCCCCATGTCTCGGCACCAGTCTTGAAATTTGATGTCCTCGAACTGCTTGTCGTTGTCGGAGATCAATACCCGAGGTAGTCCGAAGCGGCACACGATATTCTTCCAAAAGAAGTTTTGAACATTTTGGGCTGTGATCGTCACAAGGGGTTCAGCTTCTACCCACTTGGTAAAATAGTCCACTGCTACTACTAAGAACTTCCTTCCACCCGTTGCTGGCGGGAATGGCCTGAGTAGATTGATGCCCCACTGCGCAAAGGGCCACGGGCTGGTGAGATACTTGAGGTCGGCAGCGGGTTGGTGGTGAATATTGGCATGTCTCTGGCATTTGTCACATTTTCTTACGAGCTCAATAGCGTCTGCCTTCATTGTTGGCCAATAATACCCTTGTCGGAGTGCCTTTTGGGTAAGGGCCCTGCCCCCCAAGTGCTCACTGCACAGACCCTCATGGGGGTCACGGAGTACAAGCTTGGCTTCGGTAGGTTGCAAGCAACGCAAGTAGGGGAGCGTGTAAGATCTCCGGCATAGTTGTTCGTCTATCATGACATATTTGGCTGCCTGGCGCTGCACCCTTCTAGCTGCATTGCGGTCTGCAGGGAGGGTCCCGTGTAGCAAGAAGCTCGTGAGCGGGTCAATCCAGCTCATCTGTGCTTGAACGACGGGAGCAACCTCCTCTGCCCCCCTGAGAATGCTAGGCCGAGGCAGGTCCTCTATGTACACGGTTCTCATGGTGATGTCGCTGGTGCTGGCTAACCTGGACAGGGCGTCGGCCTCAGCGTTCGCTGACCTAAGGATTTGTCTGATAAAGTGTGACCGGAAGTTGAGCAGGGCCTTTCTGACTTTGGCTAAATAAGCAATCATGGTTGGCTCGCGAGCTTCGTACTCGCCGGTGACCTGGTTGACCACAAGTTGGGAGTCGCTGCAGATAACGATGTGCTTGGCTTTTACTTCTCTGCCTAGAGCTAGACCAGCTATCAATGCCTCGTACTCCGCTTCATTGTTAGATGCTGCGAACTCGAAGCGTAGCGCGTACTCTAGTTTCGTGTCACTTGGGCCGTGCAGAACTATTCCGGCTCCGCTGCTCTATTGGTTCGAGGAGCCATCCACGTGAAGGATCCAGGGCTCCTCATCACAGCTCGGGCTTGGCCGAACTAGGAGAGATGCCACACTAGTTGCTACCTCACGGGGCTCGGACTCGACCAGCCTGGGAGCTTCGGGCTCACCCGAGTTGGGGGCCTCGTGCTCAACCGGCCTGGGGGCTTCAGAGTTGAATGTGCACTCGACGATGAAATCTGCTAAGGCTTGGGCCTTAATGGCAGTTCACGGCTTGTACTGGAGATCGTACTCGTTGAGCTCAACGGCCCACTTCGTCAACCAACCAGAGACCTCGGTCTTAAGTAAGACTTGCCTTAGAGGTTTGTCGGTGAGAACAATAACAGTGTGAGCCTGGAAGTACGGGTGGAGCTTCCGACCTGCAATTACCAGTGCGTACGCTAGCTTTTCTATCTCCGGGTATCTCGTCTCTGCTCCCTGCAATACTTTACTAACATAATAGATGGGTCGTTGGACCCGATCTGCTTCCTTTATTAATACCGAACTGACCACTTCGTCGCTCACCGAGAGGTACAGTTCTAAAATATTGCCCTCCTTAGGCCGGGTTAAGATTGACACACTAGCGAGGTATTTCTTGAGCTCGTCAAACGTGAGCTGACAGTCTTGGGTCCACTCAAACCCTTTGCTCTTGATTGCCTTAAAGAATGGCAAACAGCGGTCCGCCGATTTGGACATAAAGCGGCTCAGGGCGGCTATGCGGCCATTCAACCTCTGAACCTCCTTCAACTTACGGGGTGGTCTCATGTCTAAGATGGCCTTAACCTTATCCGGGTTGGCTTCAATGCCGTGCCGGTTAACAATGTATCCTAGGAACTTACCCGAGGTCACACCGAACACACACTTGTTTAGGTTCAATCTCATATTAAACTTAC